TGTGTATTCTTATATTTATATTAAATATTTCTAATTTGTTTGATAATCTCGTTTGCATAGTAGAGTTACTGCATTTATTTGTGRAAACTTTGATATACTTGTATATTACTAGTATGCATACTAGTGTATACTTGTATTTTTGCTTTAGTTTTGTATGCAATAATCATTAGCCTTGGCAGTCGATTTCAGCAAAACGTACGTATACCCATTAGCATATAAGTTTATAAAACGTGGTTGAACTAGGGTGTCGGAGGTGCCCCGGGGCATGCTCTCTAGTTTAGGCTTTTGCACCCTGGTGGTATGTGTGAGAACCATGGAGTGAGTGGGTGGGTATGTATGTTTTTTCTTAAAATGGGTTATAATATGGGTAATAGGTAGGCAGGTAGCATACTTCTCTGAATGAATGTGAAAACTTTAATTTTAAGTAGGTAGGATCCAGGAAAGGCATTAGACTTCTTGCTTCCACTCCGGAGTGGAAATTCCGCCTCCTGGTTTAAACACAGAATTGTTACAAAATATTTGATCATCTCGTTCTATTATGCTTGATTTGTTAATATATTTTGTAACTATTCTGTGATCTTTATGTATCATGATTCAAAGGTATTTGCAACCATTTGAAAGATTCATTTCTACTTCGATTTTATCTCGAACGAGATAGAGTCGAATCAAATTCGCAAATTCTTTGATGCATTTGATACTTAGTTTTAAGTATTTCAGGATTAGCACTACGCACTATCGCGATTTTGTCTTATAGCTAGAATTATTTGATATAATTAACGAATAAATTAATAACGAATTAATGAAATGAAGGTATTGCAAAAAAATGCATTACATTTATTGCACTATTTATTTCAATTCGATTTTATTACTTGACGTTAAAAGTGCGAAGTGTTATTAGGTCATCGAGGGAAATTCTTATCTGCTTGGACATTCGAATAAATATTCTCGTGTATGGCCAATAAACTCAAAGTTCATTGATGATCCACGAGAAATGTGAATTAGAAAAATACGAGTTCATTTGCAAAATTAGTATGAAAGATCTTATTTTGCTCGCACGTAGGAAATGTCCAAATGCAGTTTTCATGGAATGAAGAAAGAAGAGGCTTAATGCTGAAGAGGCCCCCACTTAATTGTGGCTGAAGAGGGCAACTACAGGCTATTGAGTTATTGTCAAAGGTTCAACAGCAAGTTTAAAACTTTTTGAGAATGGCTCTTTAGTCATATTTTATATTTTATTGTATTTTTTTTATGCTCGTCATTAATTTGTAGTTGTAATTGGAGATGATGGACCATTCCATCTCCTTGGGACACCAAATTTGTGTCCATATCGTCAAAAAGATGCATATGTGTTTTGTTAGTTAGAGTCATCAAAATATTAAAATGTCTGTATTGTTAAATTTTGAAGCTTAATTAACCTTTTTGTAAATGTTACAGTAATTTCTTTTATCTTGTTCCATCTTTAATATTTTTTACTATGATCGTATTTTATTAACTATGCAATTTTTCTTTTGTATATAACGTTGTTTATAAAGTATTCTATAATAATTAATAGATATTATTTTCTCTCTAGTAACTTAATATTAGTACTTTTATTTTTTTTTGTAAATGTAAAATCACGCGTTTAAATTTAATTTCATTGCAACGGTAGTAAATAGATATTTGATAAAAATAAAAACAGAATTTAATTAAAAAGTGCATCTGTGAATTGGACGATTTATATGTCAGGCTATTAGTGTATCACTTGATTTTATGATTAATATAGTTTTCTTTTTGTTACAGGTGATCTTCGTTGGATTTAACAACAAACTTTTTTGATTCTCCTCCATTAGATATATGTATAAATGCATTTCTGAAGGCACACATATAAACATTAAATATGAAATATATATATTTAAAAGTTCATAATAGATATAACATTTAATATTTGCACAGGTTTACAAAAAATTTTTAATATGTTTGTATTAACAAAATGTTTAATTTATTAACATATCTGTTTCAGATTTAGGACTTTTATTTTTTACAAATTGTATCTACCAGATAATTGTTGTATTTGTATTTATTTATTTAATTTTTTTTTTCTAAACGATCGAGGATTAGAATTTAAAATTATATACAACTAATGGGATAAATGTTAAAGGAAATAATTTAATTTTTGCACGTGTGTCACACTTTTTTTTGCTATAATTCGTGGTAATCATAATCATCATCATCATTATAAATTAAACGTCAAATCATAGTTGATATTTTTATTTATAATGTTCTGATTTTCCCATGAAAATCTTAATCATTATTATCAAACGTAGATATAATACAATAATAATAATAATAATAATAATAATAATAATAACATAAGAATAAAACGCAACAAGTAAATGGCGTTTAAATATATCACTAGGAAGATTATCTAATATTTCTTTTAATTAAACTATCACCATCGTATCGCGTCGTGTTATGTTATTAATATTATCTATAAGCACAATCTTATAATATTTATTACACGTTGACTGTCAAAAAAAAAGACACGTTTGACATATTTTACGATAAAATATATAAAACAATTAAAATAAATTTAATTTAATTAAATTAAACCCACACATGTGGATCTCATTGATGACAGTCAACGTGTTGAACCTAATGAAACTAATATTAAATAATGCTAAGCGATTGATTAATTAAATCAAATAAAAAAGAAAAAACGAAAAAACCAATGTGAAGAAATTTTGATAAAATAAAAAAGAAAAAAAAGAAAATAAAAGGAAGAGTTTATAAAAATAATAAAGCATTGATAATGTTTAAGAAGGTCACTAGAGTCATCTTAAAAAAAAAGAAAAAAAAGAAAATACCGAAAGGAAGAAAGAGAGTTCAGATTTTATGATGAGCAGTTATGTGATTCTTAAGTTCGTAACGATATTTGAATTTTCTCTCGCAAAAATTACATAGAAATCTTTTTTCTTTATTTCCACAATCAACCCTTTTGTGTCTCTTCAAACTGTCCTGCCATTTATATTTCTTGCCGCAATCGGTGCAGACGTATTGCGTTTGTAGTACAGCGATGTAGGAATCACCACCATAAAGTTGTGCTATTGGATAACTCGTACCAGCTTGTTCCGTCACCTTAGATGAGATAGATTTAATCGGACCCAAAAATGGTTGATCTTGATCCTCACCAATGCTACGGGCTTTTTTCTCCAGCATCCATAGTGCGTCGTACTCCTCCTCCTCCTCCTTACTGTCTTCCATATTATTTGCTGGAATAATTAAGAATTGCCATTGGTTAGGTTCATTAGGTTTGACGTATATTCCTTCGATCTAAAGAACATTTTTCGTTTAATAATTCCATTTATTTTTTATTTTATTTTATTTTATTTTATTTTATTTTATTTTTTTTCCTCAATTTTTTCTTCCAAAAAAAAAAAAATAAAAAGAAGATAAGAGCAAATGATTTTGATCGATCGAACCTTAACAATTATTTTTTTGTTTCTTTTTTTTCCCCCCGTTTATAATAATAATAATATATAAATATTATAAGAATAAAAAAAAAATGTGACAAGAAAGTCGAAAAAATAATAATGATTATTAAGGAGATTTTACTTTTTTTCTTTTTTTACTTTTAGGAAGAAATGGGGAAGGAGATTTTTTTTTTTCGAGGAAGATAAGTCTGAAATTTTGATAAGTCGACAAATTCTTTTCTTTTTTTTTTTTTGTGGTTTATTTTTAAAATCACGTAGCACCTTCTCGTATTGTTTTTTGGTTATTTTTTTTTTCTCTGAGCGAGTAATCTTTATTTAGAAAAATTAAATATCATTGTTATTTTTTTTTTTTTTTTTCATTCGGGCGTGAGAGGCAAACCGAGCAAAAAAGAAAATATATATATCTATACATATATAATATGTACGTCCAAGTTACGATAAATTTTAAAAAGACTACGATGTATTTTCATTTCATTTCTTTTCTTTTTTCTTTTAATCAGAAAATTGTCAAGAAGACACAAAGAATGGTGAACATTCAAATCGCATTTTTTAAAAATTGTTACATACATATATCTGTGTTTGTGTTTGTGATGTGTGTATAGATACACATCGAAAGATTTTTCATGTGTTCGAATTAGCACGCAATTTTATAAAAACAAAACAAAAAAAAATATTTCACGCTCGTTCATACATATATACATATACGTACGATTTTTATTAATTTGATTATAACTAGAACGTAGTTAACGATAAATCATAATTGTTAAACTTTTAAATTAGTAAAAATAATATAATTAAAATTTATATCGATGACGAGAAAGATTGAATAATGATCGATGTTTAAACCACGACATTAYTATTATTTGTATTTCTTATCGATAAACGCATAATATTGTTGCATTTTTAAGTCCATTATAATAAGAATTATCATTCCAAACGCATACGTAGTTCGTGTACTACTCGGATCACTTAAATGGTTAATAATAAAATAAAAAGAAAAAAAAAGAAAGAAATAATATTTGACAACCCCCCCTCCCTTCATTCCAACAATGTTTTTAAATCATCAAAAAATAATAAACAAAACATTCGTAAATCTAATGTTCAAATTATTCGTTAGTGTATGTGTATGTATGTGTGTATGTGTATCTTTTTTTTAAGATGTGCCAGTTTTATCAGTCTTGATGACGGAATGAACGGAATCCCTGTCGGCGCAAACAAGTCTTTGATGTCTTCTCAAAGTATCCAATCTTTTGTATCTTTTACCGCATTGGTTGCATGAATATTCTTGTTGTAACCTTTCCAAATTGTCTTGACTATCTTGAAGTAATGCCAACAAATCTTGGCACTTTTGTTGATGACGTTTCAAACTGTCGACTCTGGTATATGTTCTACCACAACCGTCGCAACGAAATTGTTGACAGGATTTGGTTGTACTGTTGCTAGTACTGGTACTGGCACTGGTACTGTTGTTGGTTCTACTTTGAACAATGCTAGGCTCAACCGGATTCAAGATCGACGAATCGCACAAAAGATAATTCATTGTCAATTGTCCGTGAAACTGCATATCGCAAATTTCCGGATCTTCGTCGTGGTGATGATGCTGATGGTGATGGTGACGATGATGATGATGATGATGATGATTATCCTCTGTTAAATTTCCTGCCACTTTGACATTCTCACCTGAAAAAAAATACACACATTGATCAACGTTAACAGTGATAAGATTATATGATTTTCTTATTTTTTATTTTTTTATGTTTTTTTTTTTAATGTTATTTTGATCGATCATTTTCGAACGATTACGATGAGAAATCATGCACGTGCTTGCTTGTTCAATTTCTTTTCCTTTTTTTTTTAATTTCATATTCATTCATTCTATCTTAAAATTTCAATCTCTTTTTTACTCACACACTAATTCATTTTCTTTCTCTCGTTTTATACTTAACAGGAATAATATTTTATCAATTATGATAAACAAATTGTTCAATTTTAATTTTATACATATTTAATGAATTTAATTTGTCTTATTAATGATATCTTTTTTTTTGATTCGCAAAAAATGATTTTCCAATTCAATAGTAAGAAAAATTATACATATATAATAATAATAATAATAATAATAATAATAATAATAATATCTGGAATAATTTAATGTGATGGGTGAAAAAATCAAATCTATTAAGTTTACACTTTAACAGAAATAAATAATATTTTATTTTAATTACAATTCCAATGATTACATAGTATTATTTTATTGTTTAATTAAATAGTTATAAAAACACTGATCAACAGTGTTCTTATTTGTTTTTTTTTTTTTTTTTTTTTAAATTATCGTAATCCCATTTATCGATGTAGTATTTGTTGTAATTGTTGTTATAGTTGTTGCCGTTATTTTTAATTAACGTGTTCTTCTTTTAAAAATCGTATGCATTGTGCATGAATTGTTTATGCAGTCTTGTTAGAATAATTTACATTCTTTAGAATATTTCCATGATCATTGTGTTTCCTTTTTTTTCTTCATTAACGTTCTAATTCTCCTTTCCTTATCTGAAATTAAAAAATATAAAAATATTTTTGTTAGTTGCATTATAATCATCGTCATTTTATTTTGATTTCCTCCTTTTTTGTGTTATGTTCAAAAAAAAAAAAACAAACCAAACAAAACAAAATAAATACAAGAAAATCTCAAGAGAAACAAAAAAATATAATGTAATTTTCGTTTGAAATAAAAAGAAAGTAATATTTTTTGTTTGTAGATATTTAAAATTATTTCAATAATAAATGCATAAAAGTACCATTGACAAAATTATTCATTTATTTATCTTTAATGTAGCAAATAAGAAATATCAATGATCGTATTTGTTAATTAATTGTATTTATTTCTAAAAATGACGTAATTTAAGAAATAAATTGAACAAACGAATGATTTATAATTCAGGATTATTATTTGACGGATTAGGAATGAAATATTTTCGGATTTGTCGAATCAGATTGGTGTTGAGCTAAATTCTTTATTTTAATTAACATCGAATTTATCCGTTTTCTTCTTTTTATTTACAAAATGTACAAAATTATTGGATAATATTATTCGACGATGATCTTTTGGGTTATATTAAATATAGATATAATATGATACGTATATTTGGAAAAAAATAGTTAGTTAACTTTTATTTAATAATAAAAATAATAATAATAATAATAATATTAATAATAATAATAATAATAATAATATTAGATATCGTTCAGAGAAAAGTAATTTCGTTTTTTTTTTAAATCAAATAAAATGCTATATTATTTATATTTGGTACGGTTTTTGTATGATTCAACTACATCCCGAATAATTATTTTTAAAGTATAATATAGAAGTATTTTTTTGTTTTATGCCGAACATAAAAAGAACATATTACGAATTTTTACAAAATGAAAAATGAACGAACGAACGAACGTGCGAACGAAGTTGAATCAAGGCATACGCTTAAAGAGTATTATTATATAATTTTTGTTTAGTATTTGTAAAAAATATATCAAAATATTTCGAAAGAAAAATATAATGAAAATAAAACTAAAACACAAAAAACTAAAAAAAAAAGAAACAATGATAATAATAACTACAACATATTATAGGAGTGTAGAAATTAAATCGGTGCCTTTTATGGAAAAAAAAAAATTTTATTTAAAAATTAAAAAAAAAAAATATTTAATATTTTATTTATGTCACCGAATTATTAATTTCTACCACAATAAAATATATTAAAGATAATATTAATGAGATGCTATTATAAGATATATCTTTTTTTTTTTGTATTCTTTACAAAAAAAGAAAATAAAAATTCAAAAACGATCCATGGATCAAACACACGTTGGATATCAAATTATAAAAATTTATCAGCATGGATCGATCGAAGGTGAACTCTTAACGAGGAAGAACTAATAAATTTAGTTTTACAATATTCGCAATTGAATTGATCACCTTTAGCCTTGCAATAATTTTTTTCGTGTCTTCTAAGACTGTCCAATCTTGAAAATGTTTTACCACATTGCTCGCAAATAACAGTCGTATTCTTCATATTTCTCTTACGTGAATCCTTTTTATCATTGTAATTAATGGTTTGAACCATTTGTAGAAAGCTATGGGGTGGTATACCATAATCCTCATTTTGTTTTATCATCCATCCAGCCAGACCCATTTGATTATGATGATCATCACCTGCGAATTATGAAGAAAATTTTTGTTAATCATAGTAATGAAATTTTTAATCGATCCGATCTAAAAAAAAAAAAAAGGTAAAACTTTCTAATTTTCCTTTTTTATTATTATTATTATTTTTTTTTTTTTTTTTTTTTTAATCAATTTTGTAAATAACAAATATCGTTCGCAAAAACAATTGTTTTTTTATTAATTTGTTCTTTCTTTTTTCTTTTCTTTTATTTTCAATGGTATGGTATTTTCGTGGATGGTAGTGGTGATGCTGGATGGGGATTGATAAGTTTTTGGTACTACATAAAATTTATTTTTTTTATTTTTCCATTAAACTTTTTATTTTCCCTTTCCCCCATAGTTTTTCAAAATTATTGAAAAAGATTGGTTTAAAAAAATTGTTCAATCAACCCTTTTTTACAGATTACAACAAGATGATTATCTTTCAACAATAATTTCATCTACGTTTTAATTGAGATTATTATTATTATTATTATTATTATTATTGTTATTAATACTACATACATACGATATTTATTATTCAGGATACAGACTCTTACAAAACATAAATGATTATAATGAAAATATTCGGATCGATTATTGTAATTTAATGATACTTGTTGGCTTGATTAAAAATCAAATCCTACGAATACCTACGAATTTTACAATAAAAAAAAAAAAATGAAGAAAACTTTATTTCGTTATAATTGTCAATGTTGATACAACTTAATAAACAATAATTGTATTATAATTTTTGTTATTGTCATTTAAACGATTACAAATGTAAATTAATTAAACGATTGTTTTTTGTCTTTTTTTATTTGTTAACGTAATTTCTATATGAACATTTTTCCAAAAATTCTTTGAACGTATTCCATATGACGATTTGTACGTATGCACATGTGTACGTGTGTGTGTTTTAATTGTTTTTTATTCGAAGTAGTCCTACTATTATTACTATTACTATTACGTTATTTTCGAAAGGTTTCGTGTTGTGTCTTGATATGATTTCTGAGTACGTAACGTCTATAAAATTTTCTCAAACATATTTTGCAACGAAACCTTGGTCTTCCTTCGCATTCGTAACTTTGATGTCTCGTTAAATTTCTCATCGACTTGTATCCCTTTCCGCATTCACCGCATAAATATTGTTGAACATCCAATTGCGTATTATTACCTCGTTGATTGATAGTAGTGATAGACGAAGTTAACGGATTCTTAATATCCGATTGGAATTGTTCTAAGTACAACGGATCCATCTCGATTGCCGGCATGTATTCTGAAATATCGAAACAATTGTTAGTTAATTATTATTTTTTTTTTTTTTCATGATTAACAATTTTTTATTATGCATTTATTACGTAGTTTTCTTTTTTTTTGTTTTATTTCCCCCTCCCCACATATATATTACTTTAAATGTTTTTCTATGATATCAAAATGTACACATACTACTACTTTATCGTCTACAGTTTCTACTGATTATTTCATTCTTTCTTTTTTTCTTTTTTCTTTTTTCTTTTTTTTTGGATTTTTCAATTTTATTCCTCTATTCTACGATAAATCAAATCCGACCAGTCTATTATGTCGATTAAAAATATATAAGTAACTTAATACAATATAAGAAAAAAAAAAAGAAAGAAGAAAAGAAAAATATTTATCATGACACATATATATGTATAAACATGCATATATATGTATAAATAATAATTATATATA